TTGGAAGGTGTGCCAAGAGGGGATAAGGGGGCCGATCAGACAGAGGACGCACCGCGTACAGGTGTGGCGTGGCTGGTGTAAGAAACCCCTTGGTCAAGCCGATGTTGCGACAAAGCTGCCTGGAACACCTGTGGGAGCGTGGGTGTGTTCCTAACAATGGTGAAAAAATGAAAAATTGGATTCAAGGGGCGATGAGGTGCGGGGCGAGGTGCATCTTGCCATTTTTTTGCACATTGTTGGCTTGGGGAGAGAGCGTAGGAGGCCCAAACTGGTTTTTTGTTTTTTTTTCTTTTTAATTCATGTTTTGTTGCTTTGGAAGAAAAATGTGGATTTTGGGTGTTGTTCCCAGGATAGTCAAAGAAAGTTCCTGTTTGAGTGAACAGGCCACTGTCTTGGGTGTGACTGGGTAGGGGTAGATGTGTGGGATCCCCATCTGCAATAAGAATTATTTACGATGAATATTTGTAATTTTCAAAGGGAGGAATGTAGAGGCCAAGGGGAAGCCATGTATAGTTGAAAAGTAAGAGAGATTGAGTCTAAAAATTGACCCCTTGGGGGATGCCCTCATTAAGATAGGGAGCCCAGGAAAGTAGGGCGAGTGTCCCTAAAACTCCTTTTGCCCCGATTTTGGAAATTTTATTTGAATTTTTAGAGTGCCTTGGCAAGTATATGAATAGAGTCTATATTCCTTTACGACTGTGCCCACTTAAGTGTTCCACAATAGTGAATTGCCCAGAACAGAAGTTGCGTGGGTTGGTTCACGTTCCTTCGTGCTTGTTTGTCGGAGAAGGTGGTTAGAGGATGACGTGAGATTGGTAGATGTCAAAGTGTCACAATCGTTTGAGAAATAAAGTGTCCAGAAGGTTCCCAGTCCAAAGTACAGTCTACAGGCCACGCAACTCTGTTACCTTCTGGGAAGAAAGGAGCAAACTTGGTTAGAAGATAAGCAAGTGACTGGTGCTGTTGGTTGAGTCTCCCCCATGCGAATAGTGTGTTGGAGTGGTGCCTGTTTGTACCGTCGACAGAGAGAATGACAAGTTTCAGAATATGCCGAAGCCCCCAAATGGACGCGTGTTGCTTGATGAAACAGCCTTGTTGTAAAGTATGAAGTTCTTCAGAAGACACTTGGGACTCTGGCTGCTTTTACTGTGTATTTGCTGTGAATGGGGACACACAATACATGTGGTTGAACAAGAGCCCCAGGCTGGGTGGATTAATTGTAACCCGAGGTTTTCTTGTAAGGGGGTGATTTTGTGAAAGTCGATAACTGATGTACAAACTTTGTCGTGATATGTTTTCCTTGAATGTGCTAGCAGTATATTATATGCCTAAAGTGTACAGGGAACATAGGTACAGTCAGGAAAACCGTATAATGACATGTGCCATGGTAGAAGAAACGCTTTGGCTTTGTTATGGCTTTTCGAGTGGTGGGCCAGGAAACCTCAGTGAAAAGGAGCCAGTTTCTGGGAATACCGATATAATGTACACATAGTTGGCAGTAAAGTATGCACAATTGCTGTTAGACAAATATGTTCGGTTGGGTTTGTTAGGTAATTTTCAGTAACAGACAGAAACACTCCCACATAGGAAACGTTTTTGGTTAAAAGGGAGTCTTCCATGACCTTTCCTGAAGAGTGCATGTCTTTTACGCGAACCCGCATGGGGAGGTGTACAGAGTTCCCCCTGTTCAGGTGCGGCTTGAAGTTGCTCCCCTCCGTGCGAGTTCTGCTGGGACCTGAAGCTGCGAGTGCGCTGAAAGCCAAGAACGTGGGTGATCCTGACCGGAGGCGGTCTCAGCAGTCCTTGCGAAGGAGCGGAGGAGAGTGAAAAGCGGAGCGGCCGTTACAAGGGACAGGACACTTGTGCCGTGGAGCCGGAGGACGAGGTTGTGTACCCACAAAATTGAAGTGTGGACTTGGTTGCATGGTGAAAGCGTTGGTTTCCCCTCGTGCCAGCGCAAGGTGTCGTGTAGACCCTCTGAACGGGTGTGATTGTTCGAAGGAAGTGCGACGGTGACAACCCAGGGTGGAGACCGTGGCCATGAAAGAAAGTACATTCAAGACGACTGGATGCAGGTGGGATGTGGAAAGGGGGGTTCAGCAGAAACTAGTAGACGAGGGAGCGAACAGGTTAATGAGATGTAGTTATTTTTCTATGATATTTGCCCCCAGTTTAACAATCAATATGGTGTGGTCTACCCTGTTGGTGCGAAGTGTCCTCTCAATATGGTTGACAACCCAAACACCGGGGGTCCCCGTGCCGTCCGTCTGTGTCTCCAGGCCAAAGCGTGGTCAAGAAGTGAGGACTCCCAGGAAGACTTAGACACACACATACATAGGCACAGAAGGAGGTCGAACGTGGGAGAATATGCAGGCGTGGAAAACAACAGTGAATATTGGGTTGTTGGTGAACTTTCATGATCTTAAAGGGACCCGTTTCACCCTTGTGCTGCATAGTGGGTTGGCTGGTGAAGAGGAAGACCACCAGTGCATCAGCAGCACCGCTCGAAACAGAACTTTTGATACGTACGGAACAGAGTGCCGGTGGGTTGATCGTGTGGTAGATGGTTGACGATTTCCCAGTGGGTGGGGAGAGGAAGATGAGCCCACGATGTTTCCAAATACGTGTGATGTAAGCCCACAGGATGGTTGTGAGGTGTAGTGTGGGTGGGTACACAGAAGTGGGTGTACTCCCCCGAATACATTTGTTTCCGAGGATTGAGTGTATGAACGTTCCTGACGTTCACTAGAATAGTGTTAGTTGAGCTATCAGTGTATCGTTATTTTGTTCCACATATGGAAGATGTGTTTACATACAAACGATGGTGTGAAGAGTTGGTTATACAATACTGTAAGTCCTGACAGAGTATAGGATGGTGGTTGTGGCCAAGTATTATTTAAGTAGTATGGTTTTGTATGTCCGCCAACGAGGTTCGCTTGGCAGATGGACGACGAGCCTTTCACCATAGCAATCCGATAGAGTGTCAGTGTGTGGTCAGGCCATTCCTGTCGAGACCGCTTAGTTTGGTTCCTGCCGTGCCGTGGGTGAGGCAGGGGCGTGGGTCCTGGCGCTGGAGAGGGAAGGTCCAGTAATGTGCGATAGTAGGAGTCCAGAAAGCCCGCGGATGGCCAATAACGAAAGGCGTTGAACAGCGGAAAGTCAAGACACAGTAGAGCCGGGATCTGCGATAATGCAATGGAGGTGTACCTCCCAGGTCCTAATGAGGGGGTAACAAGGTATGCCAGCCTATGGTGTAGATTAGGTGGAGGGGGTCTGGAAAATGAGCGATGGGCCATAAAGAGATTGGGAGGTTACAGGAGGAGGGCTTGGCGAGCGTGGACGGAGTCACTGGGGGCGGAGAAGTTTGCCTTACAAGGCACCGATGGCCGGTGCAAGAGAGGCCGTGATTAACGTGGGTAGACCTGCGTTTTTGGTACAAAAGCCCCTGTAAGTCTCCAGGGTGGGGTGGAATGGTGGGATACACCAGTCACGGCCAGCTTGAAGCCCTACAGATAGTTGGCAGGACGACGACAGGGAGTGACTGTCCATGGTTAGAGCCTTAGTCCACTTCTTTTGTGCCAGTTTGTATGGTGAAGTGGTAACTTCTACTCCACTTACATTTATGTGTGGCTGGCTACTGGTGTAGGATTTAAGATTACATTCAAAACAATAAATTTGCGGGAAGTTTACTCAAAGCTTTCCAGTGAGGTTAATCCCTTAAATAACTTCCCGGTCGAAGGTAGCAAGAAAACGTTGGTAGTTAGACTTCTCAATAATCATGTGGGGGTAAATGCCTGTCTGAGAAGGACAACAGGGTGTGGACCTGTTGATGACCTTGGGAACACAATCCACAAATCCATCAATCTTTCTCTGCTCTGATGTTTATTTTTGTTTCCAGGCACAGTGGTTTGCAAATGCCATTTACGAGGTAGAGGCAGGCCAGAAGAACATGGATTTTTTCACAGATTATCTGTTTCTGTAATACAACTCAGGAATAAGCCGACAGTTACAATTTTTCTAAGAGGTTCCTTTTAAGCCTCCACGGTGAACCGTGGCCTGAGTCCGGCTGTACAAAAGCCTGATTTCTCAGCCCATAACACACGAAGCAGAGCTTCAGGGATTAATGAAAGTTCAAACTTGTGAATGTTACCATGTAACAGAAGTGGTAATTTTGTGGGGGGTGTGTACGGGCAGGGGGGTTTATGGCTGACCTGAGGGATTAGTGAAACTCAACTAACTTTGTCACAGAATCCTAAACTGTCTAGCTGGTAGCTGTCAGGATTGAATTTTCAACCACCTACTCGCCATTGCATGTTCTTTGCTCCCCAGCTTTATTTATTATTTCAGCCATATGCGGGAATTGCTTTTGAACCTCCAGGCCCTTGAAATGGCCCTGAAAAATACTTAACAGCTACTGAGTTACCGGCACTTCTTCATTTTTTTGTCATGAGGTTCCTTTCCATCCGCCACCATCCTTTGAAAATGAAGCAACGGGCCGTACCACAGTTCCCGAAACCTCAGGCATTTTCTGTAACAAGTTGTGAAGTAGATTGGCCCAGTTCAGTTTCTTTGGACCTTTGGTGATCCTAAGAAATCATTAGCCACCTTAACTATGTTCTTGATGGGAACACTAACGCTTAACCACCAGGGGGCCCAGGGGGTCACAATGTTATTGCTGATGGTGTATACTCTCAATGGTTCTGACAGTAGTACATGAGACAGATAATCTGAGAAAAAAATCAGGTTTTCCTCTGGCTCCCCCTAGTGCTCCTAATGCTATTTGCAAGAATCTACCGGGCCTGAATGAAAACAAAAGATAGGAAGACGCTTTGGGTTGGACACCTGAAGATAGTTGATTGTCGAGTCTGAGTCCCAGAGTCCGAAAGAGTCTTTGAAGCCCTGGGAATGAGACTAAATCAACTATCTTTCTCCTTACCGGAAGTAACGTTCACGATCACGTCTTTGGCTTAATTTTGAAAGGGCTAACCGGATGCCGTGTAGTCATTGCTCGGTGGCTAACTTGACGGTGGTCCACTGTGTGTCTCCTGAATGAATGACATCATGCGGGCTGCTCTCTGTCTCCATCTGCGACATGACACCGTCAGACATTAACGGTTAGAGGTTTATTTAAAACCTGCCGTTAAACTGCACGCGGTAAGAGCAGCACGGTAACCGTTGTCCGTTGAGTAATGATTCAGCATTGTTGGTCTTTGCTAGCTAACGTTAGCCGCTGCTGTTCAGGGCAGGTAGAGCTAACGATGCTAAAGATTGGCTGAGGAACTGACCTGTAACGCGGTTATTCAAACGCAGAATTAAACGGACGCTGGAGGGACAGTGTATGAAGAATACCCTGTTATGTTTGTGTCTGGAGGATAAAGCCGCCGTTTGTCTGCTCAGGTCACCTGCTGTCATCCAGGCTGTCCTCTTGGCTTTAATTCATGTTGGCTCTCACATATCCAACGCACATCAGTGTGGTACAGTTTATTTTGAATATAGGAATTAGATTTGAGCTCATTTATATGTAACGTTACGTTACCACCGTGTTAAAATGACAGACAGAATTGTGCAATGAGCGATGCAAAATCGTGTTAGATGCTTTTTGTCCTTTTTGCACTTTTGCTGCTGAATGTTTGCCCAGAGAGAGAACACATTTCATCCATTTCAGCTGGAAGTTAAACATTTGAATTGGATTAAGTTAAACTGAACTGGAAATAAAAGGAAAATCAATGGTGGAATGCAACTGGAAAAAATAAATAAATCCCCAATTACTGTACTTAAGGTACAATTTGGAAGTACTTGTACATGAGTATTTCCATTTTATGCTACTTTATATTTGTAATATGTTTAATTTGTATTTGTCTGTGAGCGAACCAAACAAACGCTGACTCTAGATAGGGTCATTTGTTGTTGTTCTTTGCGTGTTTCACAGCCACCATAATTTCTCCTTTACGCTTGAAAGGGGAGGTTGAAGTGAGGGAATTGCAATCTGCAACTTCACCACTAAAAGCTACTTAAAATATGAAAAAATAGCTCCACCTTTACCAGCTTTAATGCATCTCTAGTTATATTATGAAACAGGGGTTATTATTCTGAACATTTTCTCCATAACGGGAATAATACTTTTACTTTAGGTACTTCAGGTGTATTTTGATACTAATAGTTTCACTGAAGCAGAAGCTCTGAGTTACTTCGTCCACCGCTGCTGCTGACCTTTCCATCACAAACCTGCTGCAACATTTAGGTCACTAGTCAATTAATTGATTGAAAGAAAATTAATTTAAAATACATTTTGATAACCGATCATTTCAGTCATTTTTCAAGAAAAATGTCAAACATTTGCTGGTTCCAGCTTCTCAAGGATTTACTGCTTTTCTTTGTTATTTAAGATAGACAGTTTCAGTACATCTGTACACTTCACTTACTTACAATCTGTAATGACTAGTTGTGCTATTTTAGGCCTTCAGCCAAGATTTCCATTATCTAGCAATTCTATTCTGTAGTTTTTTCCCAATAAATAAATCTGTAATTTAGTCTGTAAAATGTCCAAAGCCCAAGGTGATATCAAATGTCTTGTTTTATCTGACCAACAGCACACACACAACATTTCAGATAAATGTCTTTAAATTGCTTTTGTGTCCGACCAACAATTCAAAACACAAGGATTTTCAGTTTACTGACATAAAACAGAAAAAAGCTGCAATTCTTCACATTTGAGAATCTGGAAGCAGAGATTTTTTGTTATTTCTGCCAATAATCAATTCTCAGAATAGTTTTTTTATTCCCGTCTATTGATTAATTGAGTAATTACACCAACACCACCATGTTCTTCTCGCTTTCTCCGTCTTCCAGGTGTAGAGTGATGCAGCAGAAGTTGTGTTCCAGAGGTTCTGGTTCCTTCCTCTTAGAGAGGAACGGCCAGGCCTGCGGCGCCGTCACAGTCACTTCCTGCGACCTCCCCTTCCGCTGCCCCCGCTGTGGCGAGCAGGAGCGCTTCCGCAGCCTGGCCTCGCTCCGCGCCCACCTGGAGTACCGCCACTCGTACCGTTCGCCAGACGTGATTACTGGCGGCTTCAGCATCACCGGCAAACTCCCCGACCCGTTGACGGCGGCAATCCCCTGGCACGACATGAGCCTCCCGACCCGCCGGGGGCAGCAGAGCGCGGGGCGACCACCTCACGTCCGCTCCCTCAGTGACAGCAGAGACAGCAGTTACCTCCACTCCTACAGCTCTGTGAGGAGACGCACCCAGAGTGTCGGGGTGGGGACGCAGGCTGAGGAGGAGGATGATGAGGAAGAAGAAGGCGGGACAGAAGATGAAGATGTGGGAGAAGAGGAGGAGGAGGAGGATGGAGAGGGTAGGTGTCTTCATACCATGCTGAACAAAATGGGATGAAAAAACAACAGAAAGACAGTAGCAGTCATGCCTCCCAGCTTGTGCACAACTGACACTATTTTTGTGAGACTCCTTATTATGGGATGATACTGACCCATCGTCAGTTGGGGAGGGCCCTTTTCTCTCCGTGCTCCAATAACAGTTGAGCAAGCCTCAGTCAGATACTCAAAGCAGCCATTCTGTTATTTATGCATTACTTTAAACTGTAATATAATTAGAATGAGTGAGTTATGGGCTCCCGGTTAGCTCAGTCGGTAGAGCTGGCGACCCATGTACGGAGTTGCTGCAGAGGCCCAGGGTTCGAATCTGACCTGTGTCATCCCCTCTCTCTCTGCCCCCCTTTCCTGTCTGTCTTCAGCTTTCACTATCCAATAAAGGCAATAAAAAAAAGAATGAGTGAGTTATATAAAAATGTACCCCTGTACAGTCATGTATGGGAAATTAGCTATAGAGACCAAAATAGTTTTTGGTCTGTAAACATGCTTGTTTCTGCTGTAAAGTTGTGCATTTTAATATGGGGCCTTATGGAGATGGACTCACTTCTATTACTGTGGGACAGAGCAAAAATGGGTGGGACTTATTTAAAAAATATGGGACCCAGGCAAAGTTTCAGAACAGTGTTCAAATTGATGGCTGGTCATTTGCAGAGCATGCTAAATTAAAGTAATTACATTACTTAGACTATTTGTGAATTAATTAAAAAAAATATTAATTGTGTTACAAGAATCCAAATAATTCTCCGAAACTAAAGCAGCTTGTAGAGAAGACTTCAGTGCAGAATCAGGAGCCTGGGGTTAACACCAGCTCTGTACTGAAGAACCTAACTTCCCTCTACTTTGATTTAACTACAGTATTCCATCGTAATTTTTTTTTTTTTGATCCAATAAAACTTAATTAATAATTCAGGATTCCTTAAATGTTACTGCTAAAGTAGAATTTTCTCACTGTTGTAAATGTCATCCTCAGTGTGTTTGATACTTATATCATGTATGATGATATCATAGTTCATGTGAGTTAAGGATAATGTAAAGTTGTAAACCAACAATGTGTTAGTCTGTCTCTCAATACCTCCGGTCTCTAGTATCCCATTGGTTGCCTGACATATAAGCCTTCAGCTCACAGATATATCATTTAAAAAAGGCAGGTCACTGTAGTTTTTAACAGCTGTTACTCAAACACAGTGCATTTGCTGGGGGATATTTTCAGTGGTGGATTAATACACAAGCGACAGAACAACTCATCAAACGTAACTGAAAACACGGTTGAACGAGTCTTCTTCAACACACAATATTTGTTACTCTTCATAGTAACCTACAGCCTGAATAATGCTGTCAATGCATTGTTTTCCCCTCATACAGACACTAGTTTCACTGGCATTGCACTACTACATGTGCCTATGATGTGATTTACATCTTTATCTAACTGTATATGAGTTTAGATCTCACACAACCACACATAGACCCAGATTATACACCAGACTTGACAGATAAACCTGATAGCTGTCCTTTGTCCGTATAGTCAGGAAATGTATGTGACCGCTGAGACAGCTGCTCAGTGTTTACCAAATCTGGTCACCTTGTGAAAATGCAGTACCAAACACTTTATGGTCCTGTTTAATGATAATCTTGTAATAACTCTGTACTAGTAATGTGTCTAACAGGCTGTGATTATTTGCATGAATTCAGGTGAGGAAGAGGACGATGAAGAAGATGACCTTGATGGGCCAACAGGAAAGAGAGCAGCTGAGGATGATGATGACGAAGAGGTGAGGAAGAGTGGTGAAAGGAAACATGCTTTCATGTGTAGAAAGAGTAGCAACTAACAAGAACATGTGTGAACAGATCCCTCACACAAAATAATTTAAAGATGCATTAGTCATTAGTCATATATGCTGAAACAACGCAGTATTTTACGCCCTGGAAATAAGACCGAACAATCAACTATCTTTCTTGGCTCTAATGGTTGTATTCGAGGATTCTTGAAAATGCCATTAGGATCTGAAAATCCTCAAATAAATTATTGCTATGTAAAAAGTCACACAACTGTTTGGCGACTATTTTTTCTAGAATCTTAGAGAGGAAAGGGAGGTTAGAAATCGGTCTATAGTTGGCTAAAACCCCTGGGTCAAGAAGTGGGCTTTTTAAGAAGGGGTTTAAATTACAGCTACTTTAAAGGACTGTGGTACATATCCTGATAATAAGGAAAGATTATTGATCATATCTAGTAAAGAAGTGCCAATTAAGGGTATGACTTCTTTAAGCAGCCTAGTTGGGATGGGGTCTAATAGGCAGGTTGATGGCTTAGATGAAGAAATTATTGAAGTTAGCTGATGAAGATTGATAGCAGAAAAACATTCTAAATATATATCTAAGTTTACATTAGTTAAAGTTCCTGAACTTGGAGAGCCAGTGATACCTGTTGAGGGCATTTGGTGACTAATTTTCTCTCTAATAGTAATAATTTTATCAGATCAATCTACAGAAAGCAGTTTTATATCCCCAACCGGTTTTTGAGCTAAACACTAGGTCCAAAGTGTCGGGCTGATAATGTGAGTCAGATCTGAGATCAGTTTATCTAGAGGTCAAAACCCCAAACAACTCCAATCAAACCGCGCTTCCTGCAGCGCTGCAGCCTCCACCGGTTGCAGAAAACAGGTCAGGCTGCAAAGACGCAGTGCAGCGCTTACTCAACCTCTTCCTGAGAAAAACTGTCAACATGTTTTTGTCGCCTCTTTGTCAGTTTGAAAAGATTTTCCGATTGTAACCGCCATGATTTAATCTCACTGGTGTCGGTCTGCACTGACAGCGTCACATCTCCTGCCACAACACCCTGAAATCTGCAACGGTTCATCTGCAGAACATTAGAACTCATCCGTGGATCCAAACATCCTACAGGGCCCCACGTTTAAGATTTAAGCTCCTGAAGACATTTCTGTGAACAGGACGTGACATTTTAAAAGAAGTATAGTTTCCACTTCCAGTAGCTGAATGTGAAAACATCAAACTCTGCACACACATCATACAAACATCTCACTGTAGGAACAACAAGAAACTTTAACACTTAAATGGGCAAGCACATATAAATGCTTTGGAAAATAAATGAATTTTCTAATGTATCCAGGCTCTCTATGTTTTTTTTTTAAATATGACCTTTATCCTCCAATTTACAGACTGTATCATTAAGGGGAATACATTTTACATTTTTACCCTTTTAATAGTTCATGTGCCAACTTCTAAGCGGTTGAGGCCACCCACCTACAGGTTTCTGCATCAAGGTCTTGCTTAAATGACTTTATTGTCAACAAATGTACAAGTCTTTTTCATTGATTCACATTGAAAGCTTCACTGTTTCCAACATTAGAGGACAGAATACACATATATAATTCATTCTGTGTCTTCAGCTGCTCTGTGGCAAACATGATACCGGGTCAGAGCAGAGCTGTGGCTATATCTTAGTTTGAATGTTTGTGGCTGCACAGAGATGAAGTGATAATAGCTGTTCTGTCTTCCTGTCCTCACTTCTTAGATCTTGTTGTGTTTCACATCAAAAGTGTGTGTGTGTGTGTGTGTGTGTGTGTGTAACACGTACAAAGACAAAAACAGTTCTGCTTTCACGCTCTTTTCATCAGATGTATGATGCTGTGTGCACTGTGCAAACACTAATTTTGTAGGCTCATGTTGAACTTTGTTCGTTTGTACCTGAAGGTTCTGCTCTGACTCCAGACTGTCCACCATCTGCGGTTCTGCTGCTTACTTCACCTGAGCAAAGAAGAGATTTTATTTTGTTTGTGCGTGTTGTTTACAGTACAAACAAAAGTTTTTATTGTCTTAGAGATTCTGAGTTCTCTCCTCTCTGCAGGACGGCGTGGAGGAGAGTCACCGCATCCCCCCGTCTCCGGTCGTCCACGTCCGAGGGCTCTGTGACGCTGTGGTGGAGGCTGATCTGGTGGAGGCGCTTGATAAGTTCGGCAACATCTGGTAACATGTTACCTTAAAAATACTGACTGCATGTTCCTTTAAAATACTGACTGCATGTTCCTTTAAAATACTGACTGCATGTACCTTTAAAATACTGACTGCATGTACCTTTAAAATATTGACTGTACATGTTCTATCACACATGGCTCAAACCTGTCAGTGTTGATTAAGATGAGACTTAAATATTGGACGCTCTGCAGTACTGAGGGTTGAACCATTTACACTGAAGCCTATTTTGCAGTGTAACTGCTGTTATTCTGGTGCATCGTGTGCAGTGGGATGCGTTTCTGATGTCCGATCAGAACAACACGATTTGGAAACATTCACCACAACAAACATCCCAGCAGCCACTGCTGCTCTCCCTGCAGCTAATCTAGTTTCTATGCATCTCAGCAGCAGCACTTAGTCTGGTCTGTCTTTATGAGACAAATCAGTCTGATCACAGTGTAGTTTTCTCCATCAGTGACTTGCTTGTTTCATTAATCTTAGCAGTATAACCACTATCATTATCTGCGAGGAATACTTCAGAGTGTTACTGTGAGGGAGCTGAAAACAATTCTTACAGCGATCATCACAGATATAGAAAGAGCTGAGAGGACGTTCAAAGTGATGACAATAACAACATTAACACATGAGCCAGAGTGAAGAGGATTATACAAAAAAACACATATTTTGAAAAGGCAGTAGTTTCCTGCGAGCTGTGGGACGTAAATATTCAACAGATAAACGCTGTCCTCATAAAGTCACCAGAGCTAGGATCAGTATTAAGAAATGTTTCTAAGGCTGAAACATAACTGATGTCTGTGATAATTAGTTCATGGGTTAATTATTGCCATTCAGCATTACATTGATCATTGATCATTGATCATCAGACACCTTCTCCAGTAACTTTCAGAACAATCATCATAATCAGTTATAGGTTAAAACAAAGTTTTCCAGCTGTGTATGAAGTGTAATGCTGAGGTTGGGAGTTTTATGCTTATTTATAGATGAATATTGGAAAACATAGTAGATGGACTAATTCTTGACATTACATTGAACAAGAACCCTACATGTCTATTGATTGGGCTAACAGACACACAACCTAAGAGACCTTTATGTATTCTTACTTTCTGTGCAAGGAAAAATATATTGTTGAAATGGACAGACGACAAACATCTAACACTAGCTGGTTAGCAAAAAGTAACTTTTGATATAATACCTATGGAAACCACATGATTTACTAATGCATGACTTAAGAGTTACTTAAGTAACTTAAGTAAAAAAAAAAATAGGTTTTGTACCCCCTGCAGTACTCCAAAGAACCCAAAGAATCCCAAGTGGTACACTAATCTAAAACAGCTGTTTGCTCTGTGTGCAGTTATGTGATGATGATGCCATTTAAGCGTCAGGCTCTTGTGGAGTTTGACAGCGTGGAGAGTGCAGAGCGCTGCGTGTCTTGTGGAACAAGAGAGGCCGTCTGCATCGCAGAGCAGCAGGCCTTCTTCAACTTCTCCACCAGCCAGAGAATCACCAGACCCACCAACTCTGACGACCCCACCAGTGGAAACAAAGTCCTCCTGCTGTCCATCCAGAACCCACTGTACCCCATCACCACCGTAAGTCCAGCAGAACCTCCTCTATTAAAACATTCTTTAACTGTTTTGCGTCTGTTGGAATTTAGACTTCCTTTACCTCAGCTGAACCTCCAAATTCAACCAATACCTGTGAATTCTGAATGACCATGGGAAAAACATTGCAGTTCTAATTTTTTTCAGAAAAGCTGTCGTGAAATCAGGCATTTCAAAAAGCCCTCAAAATCCTGGAAGGATTGACCATCTGTCATTTCAGTGTTTGAAGAAAAAAAACCTTTGATTATTCTTACAGCAAGTCATCACTGTGGCCTCTCTCTCTCTTTCTCTCTCTCTCTCTTTCTCTCTCAGGATGTTCTGTACACCGTCTGTAACCCCGTTGGTAATGTCCTGCGAATCGTCATCTTCAAGCGCAACGGGATCCAAGCCATGGTGGAATATCCTTACGTGTGTGTGTAGTAGAAAATTTAGATGATCTTTGACTTAAAGTACCAGTTTGTGGGATTTAGTGCCATCTAGTGGTGAAGTTGCAGATTGCAAGCAACTGAATACTCAGCATTTTAAGTGTGTAGGCAGGTAACTAACATTGGCCAAAGAACAGGGTGAAACCATGATGGATTGCAAGATAAGTGTGAAACGCCCACTAATAATGGAAGCGACCCAGTGTTTGTCGCGCGGGTAGACTCTCTTGGGCTCACCAGTGCCCATTCGCAAGTTTCAAGAATGTCGTTTAGGACTCCAACTTGTATGAAGCGGGTATGAAAGGAAGGAACCAACGTCCTACCTGCGTGGTAATTAAAATTCTGGCATGTCAGATAATAAAATGTCTCAATTCTGAGAAGCATCCCAGACATGGAAACCATGACACACAATGACAGATTCTTTCAAGGGTCTGCTCTCCATGCTGGTTTGCCCTATAAATTAATCTAAGTCTATGTGGTTAACTCAAATATGATGTAATTAGAAGTAGCAAGAAGTTTTATGGAATCAATAACGTTCTTTAATTTTATAAAATATCTAGAGTGACAAGAGGGAAATTTAAACTCTGTAGCCCTCTATTTTGGCCTATTTGGTTTTATCACAACCAATAAATCTTTCCTTTACAGAGTGGTCAGCCTATTCCAATCAAGGCGAGCGGGCGGTTAATATATATGAGAGTGGGTTGCAAGTGCATTATTTGTAAAATAAGTTACTGGTCTATTTTTCTAAGACTGTATTCACAAGGTAACACCACCAGGTGCGTTTCTTTAGATGTGTTTGTATGAATGCTGATGACTCGATCCCAAGTTAAATTATTTGGAATCAATGAAATCTAACCACTCACAGTTCTATTGGTTACTATACTCATCACCCCAAAAATTCAGGATATTTAGGTTGTGCGCTCCTGCCATTAATAGAAGAAAAAAACGTGTATTATTTAAATTCATGCAATTTTTATTTGTGCAACCGATTCATAGGAGAAAAGCATAGGGTTATCATTCAGGAACGGCTTTCGAATATAAAGAGCGCCTTACCTCCTTATAAAAACTGGATTTAGGCAGAGACCCCAAAAGTTTCAGCACCAATCGAAAGCAAGCACTTGGCAACAGTGGCAAGGAAAAAAACCTCTTGGCATATTTTTCCCATAATTGGGTGGCCAGATATTAATATTTCAGCATTTCTTTTCCCATCAAAGTAAAGCATTAGCAATCCCAAAATACACCTTTTAAAGTACCAAACCTAAATCCAACATGCAGAAAAATGGGTAATTTCAGAATAATATATACTACATTATTGGAATTAAATTTTATAGCATGTAAATTACTTCAGCTGCTTGTGTAGATTCAATTCCTAAATGAAGTGAATAGCATGATATTATTATTAGTTATTATTTTGCATAATGGAATGCTGATGTATCTCATTGTACTTAGTCTCACCACTCGAATCCATCAAAAGCGCAAGTTAGTTATAGAAGAATTTCACAACATTCAACTTTTTACAGCGCTGTAGATGCAACATGATGACGGCTGATAAATTACACTTAATTAAAGAACCTGGTTGCATAGCTCTTGAAAACAGGAAACAATCTTTTAAGATCAAATTTAGGTTATTAACAGATGACAGTAGAAGCTCCTTGAAGACCAGGGCGGTCGGTTATATTGTGATGGGGGTTCTCCTCCTCTCTGATTGGTCCTAGTTTCTGGTCCACCCCTTATGAGTCACCCCTTAACAAGCTTTCCGTTTATCCCACCATTTGAGTCAGTGGAGGACGCTCAGAAGGCGAACCAAACCGGCGTACTTGAAGACGAAGAGGCAGAGGAGACAATCTAACGGACTTGCGGCTGCTGCACGCATCAATGATTCGTGGAAAATCGTCTGCATTGGGGATACTGTGCCCTAACGGAAAGACCGTTGAGAATACCACACCAGAAGACACACACCACAAACACCAGTGCGTCTGGACAAACACAAAGACCGCACGCAGCGTTGCTATGATTGCCACCATAATGCACACCAAGTTAGCTTCACTTGTTATGCCTACATGGCACACATCACCGTCCACCCAGCAGGGTGGCTGTTGGCTCTGTCGCTCCCACTGCAGCCCAACAGAACCTGAACGAACCGTCGTCTCCTGCCCCAGAATCAAATGACAACCACAGACAAAGCTTGGGATTTAAATACACCCAACCAGTGTCCTGAAACCGCACACTCCTGTGGCAACCGGCCGCAGGTGAGTTAAATGCCACACACAGCCACACACAACACGTTGGGCAGCTGATCCTCAAGAAAGTTTGAATAAAAACTATATCTGGTTTCATACTTCTAAATCAAAATTCTGAATATATTTTTTCAGCTCAGTTTCTTCTAGTTGACCTCCGCGAACTGAAATCATTCAGGGACATGAGACAATTATATTCCTTGGTTTGTCACAAATATTGCAAATTTTATGCCCTGTTCAGATATTAAAGATATCAGGATAGAGGGATTCGTGTGTCGATTGTGAGGTGTTTGTTGTTTTGTGAGTGTTGTTTGTCGTCGTCCGTATCTCATTTCCCTTTGAATTTGATAGACTTTAATCGCACTTAACCTCGAATATGAATTACGTCACTTGGTGCGAAGTCAAGCAATTCGCAGCCCAATCCTTTCTGTCTCATTGGATTTTTCACAAAATCTTGCAGGTTTCGACACGCATTTTGGAAGAAGCTTTATAATTAACCAGTCACAAAGTGAAATGCCACACTGGCCCCAAAAATGAGTTGTTGAGCAATACAAGTAATTGGCAGACCAAGCGAACTATGATGTATTATATGGTCCTAGCCTATCAAGGACTGAACCACCCATGGGTAAATTGGGTTCGCATCCAAATTCGCAGGGCGATTGGCTCAGTTATTATCCTATATATCACCTTTTTAATCATGTCGCTTAGGCACTAGCCTTTTACAATTCCCTGTCTGTAATGCCACTCCTTTATCCATGGTGTCACACACAGACAGACACTGACAGTCTTAAGTAAGAAGTCTAAGTAGGAAAATTCTAGCGTGTTTTTTTATTTTAGTATTCACAACGGGTGCAACTGTACACTGGCTTAGAGAATTTTGAGTTACACAACGCTTGTTGAAAGGTTGAGAACAGGGCATGCAGGTGAATCGCTCGTGGCCCATATGCGACGACTACACGGTGATCCACGTGTACATTGCACTTGCAGCTCGCCCTGAGAACACAAGAGCCCTTGAGCATGGAACCGACTGCTGCGGAAGGCTGAAAAATAGATTCTTCTGCTGAGGAGGGAAGCAGCTCAGCTTTCAGCCATCCCCCGCTGCTTCCGACCCTTATTCCTTATGTGTGGGTCAGGCACTTTGCAAATAACCCCCCAATCCTAGTTACACCGAAGACTGGCTGCGACTTAACCTGTGTGTGGGGTGTGTGTGTTGTGTGGTGTGTGTGTGTGTGTGGTGTGAAGTGAGTGAGTGACAGTGCCACTAGCGAGCCCAGTAAGATCTTCCTGTCCAGCTCTTATTTTGGTTTAGATTTCTTGTGTTTGTGATGTGGTTCGGCGAGTCTGAAGAATGGCCGGTAGAGTTGGGCGAATAGGGAGAGTGCTCATATTAGAAGTCAGGAGTCAATAGCCCCATCCTTGGGAAAGATAAGCCCTTGCGCATCCGGCCCAAGTGAGACATAAGAGGCGGGTACTGGCGTGTCTGGTCGTGTGCGGTCTGTCCGTGTTCTGCTCATGTCCTCGGGGGGTGCTTGCAACATCAAATCCAATTCCCGCTGTCCTCATGTCTAACTTCAAGTGTGGCTTCCGCCTATCTGCTGTCTCTGCAGCGGCCATTGGCACAACTTCCACAATGATCTAAACTAACAAGGTAATAAGTGCCAGAGGAACCCCAATTTTAGTGATTTCCTTTTTTTCTCCTCAACTCTCCAATTTCCAAGTTGCCAAATTAAAAAAAACAAAAAAAAAAACGGTGTCCGGCACTTCTTTTTTGCTTCCTCGAAACACCGCCCCCACAGCCGCTCGTGCGCTTCCGGCGCCGCGCGCCGTTCTGTGGCTCCCGGACACACCGACAGGGCGCGCTCTTTGCCCGCCCACTCCACTTCACAGGTGACCCACGCGCAGAGACGACATGGGCATACCATTTATACGCTCACAATAGAAACGAAAGTTTAATCACACCACAACACACCACAAAACCAAACAACTGATTTGGAAGCCACAAAAACGCTTGCGCGCCACTGAGCTGTTTCCTATCCTGGCTACAGCGACAGAGAGCGAATAAAAGCGAACCCACAAACAAACAAACCACAAACAACACACCGCGTGTTCAATGAATGCAACCACAGCTTCTTGTAACTAACAACCATGTTCTATTCCATTCAGCAACACAAGCCAGTTGTTCCTTTCTCTTGTCACAATACGCGACCACCGTACCAGTAGGCTCTACCGTCCCCAACCACCCAATAACCATTCATTATCTTAATATTCAGCGCAGCAACAGACACACCAATCAACTCAATAAAACCTACCCGGCCGGGTTTTTAAACCTACAAACCATTACACCCCGCCGGCGCAACACTGGCCCTCTAGGCAATCCGGCTAAAGTGCTAGCTGCCTCTTCCAATAAGAACCTAATTAACTAACTTACTAGGCGCCTAGCCATTAGCCTGAAGCTCACTACCCGGGTCCGCAGCTGAAGTCGGAGTTGACTGCCAACGGCGCAATTCTCCTTTTAACCACAACCGGCGAAAAAACAAATGAACAATGGTAGGAATACTCGCTCTTCACTACCCAGAGTCTCCTCATCACCCTTAGACATCTCCCTGCACACGCGCCACGCCATGCTCTGTGACCCAAGAGCAATGTCCAGTGTGCTTCTGAAGACCCCTGCCCCACTGCTAACCGTTGCTAGTAGGGGGTTCCTCCACTTTCGCTCGCAGAGATGGAGAGGGGAAGGGCAGGCGAAGAGGGAGGGAGAGACGAAGGAGGAGGAGAGGGGAGGAGAGGAGAGGGGAGGAGGCAGGGGGGAGGCAGGGGGGAGGCTGCACCACAAGGCAGAAAACTGCCAACCGGAAATGCTTTCTCAACATCAGATCTGTGCTCAGGAAGTGCAAGCTCTGAAGCGGTCCACCCATAATGCTGGCTAGGTTATTCAAAGCATCTGTATGCCAGGGCATCTTTGATCACATACATATAGACAATAGCTTTTTCACATACACAGGTCTGGTTTTCT